ATTCTTATTTTTAATATTTACTTAATTTTATACCATCTTTGTATATTTTATTATTTCTAAATGTGCAAAATTAAAGTAATGAAGTATCCTTCTTACATTGATGAATATGCTTCATTCTACATAGGGATCAAACAGTTTTGCTTAAACTTTCACTTTTTAAAACTTTCATTTTATCATTGTTTATCAAAATTGATTAGTCAGAAGATTTGTACCTAAATAAAAAATTCAATCATATCTCATGAAGATTTAATTTTGAAAAGTTTCTTCTCTACTTGATTAAAAATGTCTGACTTGGAGATAAAATTTATGATATATTTGTTTGGTATTGAGTATTTTATAACTCTTCATGCAACTCCATTGTATCATCATTTGCAAAGGTTAATTAATGCATCAAAAGTTCTCAATTTTTTCGTTAAGCATCAGCTGGATTTTTTTTCTCCTCTCTATCTTTTTGAGTTGTAGGCACCTTCTTTGAATGGAAATTTTATGTATTGTTATTTGAGTTGCATGTTTATTCGAAAGTGAAACATGTATGGTAGGTTACATTATGTTATGAAGCTTTTGAGCCACACTATCTTCTTATAGGCTTTAATGGAAGCCATATATTTAGTTTCTATAATTGATAGTTCAATTATCTTCTAAAGTTGTGATGCCCATTTAATAGTGGTGCCTCTCATGACGTAGATGTGCATAAGGATACTTCTCCTTATATCTAAGTCTCCTTCTAGTTAATTGTTCATTTATACATTATAATATTAACTTAACATCTTCTTAGTGTCAATTGTTGCACTTTGGCTATAGTTCATCTATCTAAATCAAGTAATATAGAGACGACTAATGATTAATAGGTTTGTTAGCTTTTTTGATCTTTAAACTATTGTTTTCGGTGTGCATGGGTCAGGTTTCCCCTAAGCTCTATTGTTATTTCCTATATTTATTATAGAAAGGGATGTTACTCTAGTTCAACTTGCTCTTGAGTGAAGGTATCTTTTGTTTTAGTTCTTGACTTGCCTTTTATAATGCATATTTATTGAAAATAACATTTGTTCACTTGTTTATCTTTAACTTTCCAAAATCTACAACTAGACTATTATTATTTTAGATCAAGTTGGCTTACCAGTAATCTGATTAACTTAAACATACAATAAACAATAAAAAAACTATTACATGTGACAAACATTCCTCTTTGCATATCTTTGTTTATTCAAAAAGATTAAAGTTGAGTCTCATTGATTGTTCTCGGTTAATTAAAAGTTTTGTTGTGCTCATTGCATTCTTCAAGAAGATTTTAGGAATGCTTGAATGCAATCTCATACTCTGTTCATGTTGATTTTGTTATTCATTCTCTTAAATATTCTATTTTTTCATAGAGTTTTGGAATTGTTCTCTTCATATGGATGTCGTGTGAATTACATTAATATTTTTTTTAACTTTTAGTAAAATACCTTCTATTATCAAATCACGTGCACTTGATTTTATCTCTACTCTCATTCCTCCCTAGTGTTGTAGGCAAAAGGTAGCCTAGTGGTCACGTTGGGAAAGCAATAAGGTCAACTCACATACATTTGCATTCATCAGGAAAAACTTTTTTGGCTTTAGCTCTCTCCCAATGTTAGGATAATCCACCTTTGTTTTCCTTAAAACACGATCTTCATAAAATGTTGTTTCAATAGACTTTAAATTGGAAATGAAATTTTGGCATGGAGAATCTTTAAGCATTTCTTACTTAATATGATCTATCCTTCGGTGCCATTAATTTAAATTTGCTTCTATATTGATGGTGACTCCCACTATCCTTATGCAGCTATTTGTGATTTAGAAAGAGTCTGTTATGCCCATAATCATGCCGGTCCACCTTGGACTGGCTGGAAAAGACTCAACCGGGTTGCAGGTGTGCCAGTCTGTGCAGCATGAAGGCGTGGAGCGGGCAAGGCTAGCTGTATAAGCGAATCAAGGGTGGGTGGGGGCTGCAGAAGCAAGGAGAGGGTGGGGTTCACTAGGGCCATAACCACATATTTAAGGAGGAGAAATCAAAGGAGTTTGGAGGGAAAGTTGGGAAGGAAAGTTTGAAATGCTGTAAGGGGACTCTATTAAGGGGATAACCTAGGGTTGTTTTCTTTATGCATATTTTGTTGTGGCTGCTGTTTTATTTCTTCTTGTGGTGCTCCTAGCGATGTCTAGTGTGTGGAAGAGACAATCTACCTCTCAAATAGTAGATCAATCTTGTATCTTGCTTTTTTTTTTCCTTAATTTTTGTATGAGCAGCTTGTGTTTGTGTTTCTTTCACCTATCTATCGTCGTTTTATAGTGGTTTGTTCGCTGATTTTGGTGCCGAGGTGTATCAGAGTCTATAGTGTTCCTCAAGCAATCACCCATACATTTTTTTCTCATTTTTCAAGCATCAATATTTAAAGTGACATTTTGTCATTTGCAACTAGCTACTATAGATTAGATTTTCCCTTAAGCCCGTGATATGCTTGATTTTATTTAGCTTTCAAGTGTCGTTGTCTACATTAAATAACTCCAACGCTTATAACATTCAAGGGATTCCCATCACAAGCAATAATTCTTTTATAATTGATTGTGTGCATTAATTTATCATTTACCTTATTGAAAGAAGAACTGAATAACACGCCGAAGTTCAATATTCACATATCCAATAAATTGTTTATTCTGAACATCAGTGCATTTAGAAAGCCTTCCATGATGATTCTTATTGTCTCTTTATTTTTCTTTTGTCCTTTTTCAGATTTTTTGCTGCATTATTTTATCATGTTGTCAAACTTATCATGTTATTAACTTCCACCGTATTTAATTTATATACTTGCTTTTGTTTTGATTTGATTATGGGTGCTTCCATGCCTAAGTTTAAATGATTTTATTTTAATTTGATTGTTGGTCTACTTCTCAAATTGCTCGAAAATGTTCCAACAAATAATCCTTTAATTACTTCCACTAATGGATCGGGTATATATCCTCTCTCCACTAAAACCAGGCTAGAGATTTTCCTTCTACACATAATCCTACCGCTATGAGTTTCTCTTCCCCATCTAGCTCATTCAATGTGAATTATCGCTCCTCCTGTCTTCCCCCTCGAAGATCGGCACCATTAAATTACTAACTCTAGCATCGCCACCCCAACTTCCTCTTCCTCCATTGTTTTTCCCTACTATCTAGGGTAAAAATTCCTCCTTTGATTGTAGCCATATTTCCTTCCCGCTTTTCTCCTTTTTCTTTGTGCTCCATATCTTTTGCATAATCTCTTCTCCATGTTTCGACCCATTTGCCTCCATTAGAAATCTCTAATTCACCGCCAATTGGAGCTCTGAGAGGGGGTTTGTGATGACGGATGCATTCCTCATGTTTCTTACATTCGATCTCTTTTCTTTTCGATTTAGCCAATAAATCTCTGGTCAACCCTTGAACCTCCGGTGGGGTCTTGGATTGCATCTTAATAAGCTTATTTATCATCTCTCGAATTTCCCTCATGCTCTCCAATTGACCCTCCATTTAGTTCTCCATGGAAGAAAACTTATCTTCTATGGTGCCTAACCATTTTTCCATCCCATATCTGATTTGGCTGATCTTTTCCTCTAAATTCATCTCCAAATTATCTATTTTCTTAGCTGCCATTCTCAAAAAAATTTTTTTTTATCACCAAACGACAAAAACACCTGTACGCTAATAGACTAGACAAACGACTGAAAATTATGGAATTTCATAGTTGGCACTGCATAAAATGACGGGGGTGACGCTGCGACCCCGTCATTGCTTATCAGAATCGCGACTATATCGCACGATGCACTCCAAAATCCCATTGGTCGGCTCACAACAAACTCAAGCCGCGATTGAATCACGCGAATGTAAGCCGTGAAGTCGTCGGCTCCCCATCAGGCTCAACTCGCACGGATCGAGTCACAATTAAAGATAGCAGTCTTTATTAATTGTGATCCCTAGCAGTTTCCGTTCATGGGGTCTTGGAGCACTGTCCGCAGCGATCCGCAGCAAGCTCAACCCATGAATATGTCGTGCTAATGTAAGCGGCCATCCCGTCGGTCTAAGAGACGGAAAACACGTTCCCTTCGTTGGCTTCACCTGGGTGATCTGTTCTATGTACACCACAATATTTCGTTTCGTCTCAGTATTGCAAGGTTCGGTCAAGCATGGCGATCTCTCAAAATTGTCGTTCTGATACCAATTTGATACGATCTGACCTCAAAATCCACTCTTTTTTCTACAGAATTAGGACAATCACAATATTTCTTCAATAAATCAAACAATTCAAGAATAATACAAAAATAAACACTTATAATTCGAGAGGTAGACAATCTCCCCCAATTTTTATAATTTGAGAGGTAGGGAATCTCTCCCAAATTCTAGATCCAAGACGACTCAATCTCCTGCATAAACCTAACCCTGGCAAAACAAGCCTATTTATACACAACAATAATAATAATAAAAGACTAAATTACCCTTAGGCATAAAAATGATAAATTTGCCCTTAAGCTAAGCGCCAACATAACAATATCTTCCCTTGATGGGAGCAAAATAAGAAACATCTACTTCTTGTAGAAGCAGAAAATCTCCCTCCGGCAAAGACTGAAAACATCATTTCTTTACTTTCTTGGCTGACAACCCTTCCCCTTATCTCCCTATTTACTCTATTTTTTGAATGTCAAACCATTTTTTCTAAGGCTTTATATATACTGGTGATAAATATTTGGCTGAGGAGACAATTTATTTCAAGAAAGTACGAGCTATTACTTGAACCCTTAAAGTTCACTTAAATATCTCATAAGATTTCTCAAACCAATGTATGATTTCTTCAGAATATTTATATTAATACAAGATCTCTAATTTATTTTCATAGCTCAAAGAAATGGATGTTAATTATTTAACTTTAAAGGGGTTATTCAACCATATTTTATGAAGATTTTATTCAGCAGAAAATTTTGTTCCACATGATTAACAAATTCCACTTTTTAATATGATTCAGGGAGATGGACCTTCTACTAGTTCCCTATTCATCAGATCCAAGCCTCAAGATGATACAATGGCCACCATTTTTGCTTGCTAGCAAGGTACCTGTCAACAACTCTCTCTAGGATTTTTCTAAAATTTGTTTAATATATTGGAGCTGTTAATCCTTTTTGTCAATTTATGCAGATTCCAATTGCATTAGATATGTCAGCCCAATTTAGGTCCAAGGATGCTGATCTATGGAAACGAATTTGTGCTGATGAGTACATGAAATGTGCTGTGATTGAATGTTATGAATCTTTCAAACTTGTTCTGAACCTTTTGATAGTCGGTGAAAATGAAAAAAGGTAGTGTAAAACTTCCTTGTAAATACTATGAAACTCTGAAAATCATTTGCTTTGGCATTACGAAGATTTCTCTAGGGGTCTGAGAAAATGGGGACCTAAAGAATGCAAGGGATCTGAAGGAAATGAGTATTTCCTGTAGATTTTTTTTTTTAATTTGTTTAAGTTTGATTGGGTTGGGGTGGGGTAGGGGAGGGGGGATATTCTCATAGGGTAAGAAAGAACCACAGCCACTCTCTTTTGATGGTGGACAAGAAATGTGATCCCTTCTTTGAAGTGTAAGTATTTCATCCTAGGATTTTTGTTCTTCCATAAATTTACACCGTCTCCTCATGAACACAAAATTTCAACTACCTTTTTTTTATTTACTTATTTCTCATTTGGCTGGTCTATATAGTGCACCAAATAGTTCAGATGGCGCTCATCAAGGTACTTATTTCAAATAGTTTTGGATATTACATTATAAATCTCTGAGATGCACATCCATAAATTGGCCATCGTTGACTTAAATGGTCCACAGTATCCTAGTAAGCCAGTTTAAGAATCTTTACATGTTCCCATATCTTGTGAATTTTCCCGTCTAGCAGATGCATGAAAATTTGTATTTCAAAATTCTGTAATTCTCCTATTGTAGATTTAATTATTATTATTTTGCAGCATACATGATTACCACAATAGAAAAATATCCAAGATTAACTCAGGTTTTTCATTTTCCCATAATTGTACTGAGCATAGATATATCAGCATGATGCAAGGATAGAGAATATAGTCTAGTTTTTCGGTAACAAGACATGTTAGTCCAACCATATGGTCTAGCCTAAGCATTAGCTAAATCTACCTTACCATGAGCGCAATTGTATATTTCTGTTGAGATTTGTATCTAATTTATGGTTCGGTTTATAAATAGAGGAAGTCCTGGGATTTATTTGTAAAAACGTTGTAAGGCTCTATATAAGCCAAAATTATTAATGAAATGAACTAAATTTCTCATAGCAATTATTTCTTTATGATATTAGAGCTCTAACCCTAGTCATCTCTAGTGTTGTTTGATATAATGAGTCGGAATTGTCTTACAGAGAACTGTAACTCTCATTTTTCCTCTTCCTTTCATTTTGTCCTCACAAAGCAATCGTAAGTAGAGCTAATTGTGACGACAACGACGGGATCACAAGCTAATTCGGATGGGATCGCGACGTGAAAATCACATGAATTGAGATGATAAAGAAAGGATCATGTTGTATGAAATTGCGAAGGGAAGCAAGCGACGGGCTTGCAGAAGCTATCTGAGAAGAGAACAACACGTTACATAGCCTATGGAGGCCCTTGCGCGAAGGACGCTGGTGATACAGTCGCGTTTGCAGCGAGCTGGGAAGTTGATGATGCGCTCAACCAGGACCGAACTGATGATGCCTTCACTTGTTGGACCACAACAAAGTGGTTTGAGCGGCTTAGTGTAAGCTAAAGGTGAAGCACGAGTGAAATCAGAGCTGTTAGAGGAGAGAAATTTGGTTTTGTGTGCATGAAAGGATGTTGAAGGCTAGGGAATAATTAAATTGAGGATGTCAGGAGATGGAGATAGTGTGTGGGTAATGGTTTGGAGCTTCTGAGGGAGATAGATGTTGAAATTTTGAAGGTCTTGGTCGAGCAGATACACGGAGCTTGTGTCTTGACGGGAGCCACTATCTTAGCGTGTGCTCCTTCACAAGTGTAGCTAGATTTCTCTCCTGTGGATCTGAAGCTTGATGGACTGGCCACATATATGAGTTGGTCACGTTAGATAGAGTTTGTTATAGTAGTGAAGATACTATAGGGATATTTGATAGGGGTCGAGCTAAAGAGTCACAATGCTGAGAGGGATGAGGGAATGACCAAACATGTCTTACTTTACACATGACTACTCATCTCGATGGTTCCATCGATTGCCTCATCATTAGATGCCATTCAAAATGTGAGCAACATTTTGGCGAAGCTAAAGAAGATCTATACTAGAGCTGAGAATTACATGAACGTGTTCCAGATGCAGTGTAAGATAGAGGCAGTGGTACATAGTGATAGATCGATTCAGGATTCTCCATAGATCTAGAGTGATTGTGGGTAAATCTTGATCACTTCTCACAAATGTTGAAATGTGATGATCGGAGGTACAAGAAAAGGGAGATTTTTGCACATATGAGGACTATGCAGTTTCTGGCTCATCTGAACCCAACCTTATAAGAGATCGGTCCTCCTAGCTTAGGCGATGATCCCTTCATTGGATGAGGCTATCGCTGTGATAATACCCGAGGAGAGTTGCATGAGGCTACACTTTTATCTGAGTGGACTTCTAGGTATGTGATCAGCCTTAGTTGGCTGTAGCTTAGGTATGACAGGTGTCCAGGAAAAGACTCGCAAGTGTTATAATTGCGGTGAAGTAGGCCATCTGAGTTAGGTTTGTCCTAAGCCACCTTAGGAGAGAGAGACAGAAGAACGTTGACATTTTGGAAGCCATGTTCATGGTCGTGGTGGTTGAAGAGATGGAAAATGGGGCTACCAAACAATTATGATGGGAACAGAGGACGAGGGGAAAAACAAGTGTGTTCTTTATCGGTGAGGATCATGAATTTCCGGAGATGTTCAAGAAGAAACAAAAATCAATAGCTGATAGGATTGAGGATGCATCCACCTCGTCGTCATTAAGGGGTAACAATGCTACTTTTGCTTACTCTGACAAAGGTTCATGTGAAACACATGCTCTTACCGCTATTTCCACCACTAGATTACTAGAATGGATAATAGGCTCTGGTGCATCTTGACATGTGGCAGGCACTGCTAGAGAGTTCTGATATACTCACCTGCAGTCCCAGAGAGCATATAAACTGTTAATGATATGGCACAACCTGTAGTTGGTAAGGATATAGTGAGGTGTGTTGATTTTGTGACTTTGTTTAATATTTTGCATGCTCCTTTTTCAATGAATCTTTTATCCATTAGTGTCATTTTTCTCCAATTAAAATATGTTATTTTATTTGATATTCCTAAGGCGACATTTCAAGAGAAAGGGGTGAGCTAGATGCTTGGGATTGGAACGTGGCATAGTGAACTTTGATACTTGGATAGAGGGAGGATGGACTCAACCTTGACATCCATGGTAGAGAGTGCTAAAGTAGGGGGTCTGGGAGGAGTGTGGAGAAAATGTTGCTGCTAAAGCACAAATATGTGAGACACTCTTGTTTTAGTTTATTGAGTCATTTGTATTCATGTTTATATAAAAGGTCAAATAAACAAAAACTTGTATGTGATGCTTGTGGGTTGAATAAGTTTACTAGGAGCTCTTATAACAGTTATGGGAAGATGAGTTCTGTTTTTGATTTGGTATATTATGATATTTGAGGACCTTGTTCGACAAATTCGATGAATGATTATTGATATTTTGTGGCTTTTATTGATTGTTTTCTCATGCCACTTGGTTGTATCCGATGAAAAATAAGGGTGATGTGTTTGCTTTCTTTAAAAATTTCCACAAACAATCCACTCAATATGGTGCAGAAGTGATTGTATTGAGGTCTGATAATGAGACAGATTATACCAACAGAGAATTTTGGGAATATTTATCGGCCCAAGAGATATAACATCAAACCACATGTTCATACATACAAACACAATATGGTATAATAGAGAAGAAAAATAAACACTTTCTAGAGGTACCCAAAACATGATGATCGCGATGAATGTCTCAAAACACTTGTGATGACAAACAGTTTTGACAACAACTCAATTGATCAACAGAACACCCTCGAAAGTATTGGATTGTAAGTTTCCTTGTCAGATTTTGAAAAGAGATAATAACGATATTCTCACATTTAAGATATTTGGCTATGTATGTTTTATAAAGGACAACAAACTATTAGTAGGAAAACTAGGTCCCGGAGTGGTGAAATGTGTCTTCATGGGTTATTCTGCTACTAGATTTCCATATATCAGAGGGGTTGGTCTTGTCTCAGAGGAAGTATGTACTAAACTTCCTCACAGAAATAAATATGCTGGGATGCAAGCTCATAGTCTCTTCAATTAATTAGAAGACCGAGCTGAGTGCAGAGACAAGAGAGCCATATATTGGTGGGCTGTCTAATTTATTTGAGTTAAATTTGTCCCGGCATCTCGTTTGCAGTGAGTGTGGTGAGTTGATACATGCATAATCCAAAGAAGGGTCATATGGATGCAATGTATCAGATTCTGAGGTACTTGAATAGTGCACCAGGGAAGGGGTTGATCTTTAAGAAGAATGGGCATGTAGGCACTGGGGGCTATTGTGACTTTGACTCGATGAGTTGTGCTGAGGATAGGAGGTCAACATCAGGATACTGCATGTTCGTAGGGGGCAACTTGGTCTCTTGGAAGAGCAAGAAACCGTCAGTTGTAGTAAGGTCAACGAAAAGGCAGAGTACAGAGTCATGGCATTAGGAGTTGTCGAGATGATGTTGCTGAGAGCCTTGTTGGTAGAGCCCAAGGTAGACCAATGAGCTCAAATGAAGTTGTGGTTCGACAACAAGTCGACAATTAGTATTGCCAACAACTCGGTGCAACATGATAGAACCAAACATTTGGAGATTGATATGTTCATCAAGGAAAAGCTAAATAACAGTCTACTAGAGCCAAGTCATGTAGCCACTGGAGATCAAGTGGCTGAATGCCTCACCAAAGACTTGACTTATCATATTTGTCTAGCTTATGAGACAAGATAGGCTTAGCAGATATCTTTTGCCACCTTGATCGGGAGTGTTGAGTCATTAATGAAAAGCTTATGAGACAAGATAGGCTTATCGTATTTTTATCCGATTTATGGTCTAGTTTGTAAATAGAGGAAGTCTAGTGATTTATTTGTAAACACATTGTAAGGCTCTATATAACTTTAAGTCATTAATGAAATGAACTAAGTTTCTCCGAAGAATTATTTCTTTAGTTACAATGGAAATGCAGCTTATCTTTCTTTATCTGTAATTTCTTTTTGTTTCGTTTTCATATGTTATTCCTATGCTATAAGATTTTTTAGAGGTTACTATAAGCTAACATGGTTGATTGTTCGCAACATGTGTTTTTAAATTTTTATTTTTTATTTTTTGGCAGGATAATTGGCATTATAATCAAGGAGATTGAAGCTAGCATCGCAAGAGGATCATTTCTAGCTAATTTTAGGATGAGTGCCCTGTCAACACTATGCAAGAAGATTGTTGAGCTTGTTGGGATCTTGGTGAGTTTAAGTTTTCAATTTCAATTTAGTTTCAACAGTAATATCTCAGAACAAATTGAAAGATTATCTAAGCACACCCCTAGATCTCAAATGCTTGTTGCTTGTTCTTAAAAACTCATGCAAGCATTTAGATTTCCTTCATGATTGTATGAAAAATTTGACCATCTGTGCTTTTGATGTCATAGAAAGAAGGAGATGCATCTAAGCGTGACATTATGGTACTGTTGTTGCAAGATATGCTAGAAGTTGTAACGCGTGATATGATGGTCAATGAAATTCGGTTTGTGAAAGACTCATTGAATTTTTCGATCTTTAAAACTTCAACATTTTTGTTGCATGCTTTGTATCAGTCCCTTGACTACTCCCTTATGTTGTGATCAGCGAGTTGGTTGAGCTTGGTCATGGTAATAAGGAGTCCGTCCCTCGACGACAACTTTTTGCTGGTACTGGTTCAAAGTCTGCTATTTTATTTCCTCCAATAACTACTGCGCAATGGGAAGAACAGGTTCATATCTTTTAAATACAATTTCAAATTGCATAAATGAAGCAGCTAACTGCTCATATTTATGTTTTTGTAGATCAAACGCCTATATCTCCTCTTAACAGTGAAAGAATCTGCCATTGACGTGCCTACAAATCTTGAAGCTCGTAGAAGGATAGCATTTTTTACAAATTCTTTATTTATGGATATGCCACGGGCTCCTCGAGTACGGAAAATGCTCTCATTTAGGTTTGTTCCACCATTCCCAGAATGTTGCCAATTTATATTATAGTGTATGATGTATATCGTGATGGTTCTTGATGGAATTAAATTCCTTTTGTAGAATAAAACAAGAGTTTCTTGATTTACCTGTTATACTTTGACTTTGTAGAGTTTTTAGTTCATTGTTGCAAACCATTACATCTGACGACTTTAAAGAAACTTGAGCAATAAATTCCCTGCAACTTATTTTGTTGGGTGTGCATGTGCATAAAAGCACACACAACATACATAATTCATTTTCTACTGCTAAGTTGAAAAAGAAGAAATTTGCTTTTGCGCATCACCCATAATCAAGAAGTTATTTTGCACTTCAACAACATTTATGGTGCACTGGTTGTATTTGGTTGTTGTTTACGCATCTATTTCTGTGGTGGCTTCGACATTATTGGAGATTAAGTCAAAAATGGAAGGTTTACTACTTACATGGATGTATGTTTCAGTTTAAGTCTGACAGTACGTACTTCTAACATATGTTGCTAAAACAAATTGTTAACAGCAGAATTCAAAATTTTTTTATCTTTTTTTTTGTGATTAATGACCATAAGATATGGTGTTGGCAGTGTCATGACACCATACTACAGTGAGGAGACTGTATATTCGAAGACTGACCTTGATTTGGAGAATGAAGATGGTGTATCTATCATATTTTACCTGCAAAAGATCTTTCCAGGTAAAATTGTCGAGTTTAATGATAATCCATTGTTTACTAATATTAAACTTCCTTTTGGTTTCATTTCTCATTGCTGACTTCATTTATTTGATCAATCAATCCATTTTCATAGATGAATGGAACAATTTCATGGAACGAATAGACTGTAAAAAAGAGAGTGAGGTCTGGGCGAATGAGGAAAATGTCTTGCAGCTCCGCCATTGGGCATCTCTAAGAGGCCAAACTCTTTGCAGAACAGGTGTTGCGTGGTTGGTTATCTGAGTACTTTAGATAGTCATTTTGCATATGTTTCTAATGGAAATGTCTATGCTGTTACAGTTAGAGGAATGATGTATTACCAAAGAGCGCTTAAGCTTCAAGCTTTTCTCGACATGGCTTCTGAAAGTGGTGAGAAATAATATGACATTTTTCTTGGGGATGAGATTTATTCTTTCCAGGGGCACTGATCTTTGTTTATCAAAATAGAAATTTTAGAAGGATACAAAGCTGTGACTGAGCCAGAGGATGAAGGAAAGAGGAGCCAGAGATCTCTTTTTGCACAGCTAGAGGCCATAGCAGACATGAAATTCACTTTTGTTGCTACTTGTCAAATTTATGGCAATCAGAAACAATCTGGTGATCGCCGTGCGACAGACATTCTGAACCTGATGGTCAAGTAAGTTCCTTATTCCATTGCCTAAATATTAAGTATAATTTTTCACCTCATTGTAATCAAATTTCTACCTATGCTGCATGCTATTACTGATAGGACTTTTCCTTCCTCTTAGCGCCATTCAAAGAACGGACAAATGACATTATATTTCTGCATAATCTACCTTCTGAGTATGCTCACCTTTAAAGTTAAGCTAATTTGTATATAAAAGAATGAGCTGCAAACGACTATGAAGCATGCTCTGCTGAAGTGTGCGTTGTGTCTTCAAAATTATTAACTTGTAAAATCTAAAACTTTTAGGAACAAATATTCATTCTCTAACCTAATTCTCCTTCTATTTTTTTAATAACTTCGGGAAACTAATGATTGTGCTTTACATTCAGTTTTCCATCACTCCGTGTAGCATATATTGATGAAGTTGAAGAACGAGAAGGTGACAGGGTAAAAAAGGTATACTATTCTGTGCTAATAAAGGCAGTTGATAATCGTGATCAGGTAATGACTAAAACAACCAACACTTAATTAGAGCTATGGTGCGCTGTTCTAACATTTCCTTAAAACTAGGAAATCTACCGCATCAAATTACCTGGAGCAGCAAAGGTTGGTGAAGGTAAGCCAGAAAACCAAAACCATGCTGTTATCTTCACTAGAGGGGAGGCTCTTCAGGCAATTGATATGAACCAGGTATTTTGACTCAATTTGTCATTTGTCTTGTAGTTGCAGTCTCAGATAGATTCTAAGTAGATGTCAAATTTCTTCAGGACAATTATTTAGAAGAGGCTTTGAAAATGAGGAATCTTTTGGAAGAATTCAATGAGGACCATGGACTGCGTCCACCAACAATTCTTGGTGTGCGTGAGCATATTTTTACAGGAAGGTAAAGCTACATCAGCTTGAGTAACCTTAAAATGTCAAAATAACCACCTAACAAGTGATTTCACCTAATTGCAGTGTTTCATCTTTGGGATGGTTTATGTCAAACCAAGAAACTAGTTTTGTGACAATTGGACAAAGGGTTCTGGCTAGTCCACTGAAGTGAGTTTCTTACCTTGCAATGGTTTACTTTATAGGTGCAGCAAGTGAAAATTATTAATATTTAAAAAAGATATCTTAGATATTATATTTTATCGCTTTGTGAATCATCAAAACATAGATTTGCAATTTTGTTTGCAAAATTACTGGGATAATGGTCGCAACATAAACCAACCTATAAGCTGACTGTAGCTCAGGTCATGATTAATGTGAACATCCTGCTCATATCTGCTCAGGGTCCGTTTCCACTATGGACATCCAGATGTATTTGACAGGATTTTTCACATTACTAGAGGAGGCATAAGCAAGGCTTCTCGTGGAATCAATCTGAGTGAAGATATCTTTGCAGGTGAATATTTGCCACCCTTATTTGTTTAATTTAAAAAATCTTTTGCGAATCACTAATTGTCAATTTACGTATTCACTTGCAGGATTTAACTCGACATTAAGGCAAGGAAATATCACCCACCATGAGTATATTCAGGTTGGGAAGGGCCGTGATGTGGGTCTCAACCAAATCTCTCTCTTTGAAGCAAAGATTGCTTGTGGTAATGGAGAGCAATTGCTCAGCAGAGATATCTATCGCTTGGGTCACCGGTTCGACTTCTTCCGCATGCTGTCTTGCTACTTCACCACTGTAGGGTTCTATGTTAGCTCAATGGTAAATTTCAAACCTCTTCTGCCTGGTTGCTTGGGAAAAATTAGGGAGACAACGTAAATTATTTCATATGAGAAGCAAATATATAACGTGACTTCCACCTGAAACAATGGGATCTAGAATATCAATCCTCAAGAGGATGATTAAAACTAGATTTATTTATGATTAAAATACCAATGGAATTATTTGAAGCGAACAGTTATTGATTCCATCATAAAATTCACTGTCATGATTGCAAAAAAGCTTCATTTCTTAGTTTACATCTTTGTGTATTTTCTAAATTTGCTCATGAACATGCAGATGGTTGTTATCATTGTCTACCTTTTCCTGTATGGCAAGCTTTACCTGTCATTAAGTGGGCTTGAGGCTGCCATTATGAAGCAGGCACTGATGAGGGGAAATAATCCTCTGAAAGCTGCTATGGCATCTCAATCCGCAGTTCAACTCGGTCTTCTGATGGCCTTACCCATGGTAATGGAGATTGGTCTGGAAAGGGGGTTCAGAACCGCATTGGGTGACATAATCATCATGCAGCTTCAACTCTGCTCAGTTTTCTTCACATTCTCGCTTGGTACAAAGTCCCATTACTTTGGACGCACGGTCCTCCATGGCGGGGCAAAATATAGAGCTACCGGACGAGGCTTCGTCGTCCGACATGTAAAATTTGCTGAAAACTACAGGATGTACTCAAGAAGCCATTTCACAAAGGGTCTGGAACTCATGTTGCTTCTAATTGTTTATCAAATCTATGGATCTGCCACCACCGACTCCACGGCTTTCTTGCTTGTTACTGCATCCATGTGGTTCCTTGTTGCCACCTGGCTATTCGCCCCATTTCTTTTCAACCCTTCCGGCTTTGAGTGGCAAAAGATAGTTGATGACTGGGAAGACTGGTGCAAGTGGATTAATAGCCGTGGAGGGATTGGCGTCCCGGCAAACAAGAGCTGGGAATCATGGTGGGAAGAAGAGCAGGAACACTTGCGTTCAACAGGTTTAATAGGTCGCCTCTGGGAGACTATCCTTTCCCTCCGATTCTTTCTCTTCCAGTATGGCATTGTGTACCATCTTCATGTCTCCAACAACAACAAAAGCCTCATTGTAAGTCCTTTCACCGCCTCAACCTTTCAGCTCACCAATTCGTTTTGGGATCTTCTTTTGCATTTAATTTTCATTATAATTTCAGGTTTATGCTCTTTCCTGGTTGGTAATTCTTGCCGTGATGCTCATCCTAAAGGTTAGTTTAGAGGGTGTAACAATAGCAGACTCTTTGCATAAAGATACTTTATTTTCCTTGATGAGCTGCTAAATCTGTGCCAACTGCTGCAGGTGGTCTCCATGGGGCGGAAGAAGTTCAGTGCTGACTTCCAACTGATGTTCAGGCTCCTCAAACTATTCCTCTTCCTTGGCTGCATTGGAGCGCTCTGCATCCTCTTCACCCTCCTCAATCTCACCGTTACTGACATTGTCGTCAGCTTCCTGGCATTCATGCCTACAGGCTGGGCCATCCTCCAGGTAATCTATATAAATATATATATATATATATATATATAATATCTTTTAGCCATTGAGAAGGAAAAAATATTACATGCGGACGAGATATGTATAAATTTGTATGTGTTGTGATGGTTGTTCACCATAATAGCAAAGCAATATCATCAATCAGCTCATATGAATTTCGCACGTAATATTTTCTCATTAAGAAGGGATGAAATTAAGGTATTTGTTGTGGGAGCAGATATCGCAGGCGATGAAGCCGGCGGTGAAGGCGTTTGGTCTATGGGGGTCAGTTAAGGCATTGGGTCGAGGGTATGAGTATGTGATGGGGCTGGTGATATTTACGCCTGTGGCGGTACTGTCATGGTTCTCATTTGCATCGGAGTTCCAGACGAGGTTGCTGTTCAACCAGGCTTTCAGCCGTGGGCTCCAGATCTCTCGTATCCTGGCTGGTGGCAAAAAGCAGAGATGACCTACCTATGCACAAATAGGATTCCTTTGCAGAATCAATTGGCCATCTGTTCCAAAAATGAGGCTCATATTCTTTTTTTGCTTTCCGATTTGAGGATTGATTGCATTACATTTTTTATAATGTGCTGATGACTTTGAATTGGCGGCTCCCAATTTGAGGGAAGGGAGCAAGCCACGCGAACTGCAGCACCATTCTTTGTTTTTTTATATTTTTTTATCATTTTTTAAAATAATTTTGGCGGTTGTCTGAAGTTTTATTAACAATAAATACATGCGATATTAATCGGAAATAAATAGTTTTTTATTTTTAATGAAGGGCATAAATCTGTTTGTGTGTGGCATGAATTTCACCATTGAGATGTGGATGTTTGTGGGCCTACATATAGATAATTACATGTGCATTATTTGTTATGTTAAAATTTAATTTTTTTTAAAGTGATCTAATTAATATTAAAAAGATGGGGGATTATATTTAAAATAAAATATAGAATAATTGTGTGTGGAGATTTTATTCTATATTTTTATTATATAAAGAGTTAAAATAGAAAAATGATAAGATAATTTTTTTTGATAAGATGTGATTATTTTGAAAAAAAATTCTCTTAGGAAGATATATTCCTTTTGAGCAAATGCTATTCTTTTGCTTTTGTAAAATATGGCTATGGTCCTCAATTTAGATAATGAGAGAATTTTTCTGATTCTCATTCTCTTTGGTATCTATCATTGTAAGAATAACTAATGATCTGTTTGAGTTAGTTGTATCTTATTGAATAATCTGCTGATAAGTTGATTAAAAATAATTTACTGATAAGCTAGGTGCGGTAGCTATTACAAATTTACAAATTTTTTTTTTTTTTTTTTGTAATAGCTAGACTGCGGCAAGAAAGTTGTCACCACATCTAGGTATGTGCGGTGTGAAAACGTTGTTTTTAGAATTTTGAAAATGCATAAGCTGTCAGAACACAATTTACTCAAATAGATCAGGTGTGTTTTCAAAAAGCCACCACACCAAATAAAATAAACCAAACAAGCCCTAAGATTCTTCTAAAGGGGAAATTATATTAGACTGGAAGACCAATAACCAAAAGCTTCTAATTTTTTTATGATGTTGAATCACTTCTCGTTAATATATATATATATATATATATATATATATATAATGAAATAATTCATAAAACATGTTACTAAAATAACGTTGCTTATATAAATTAATTTATTTCAGGATTCTGAGATAATCATATGGATATAATGTATGTAAATATCAGCCAAACCAAGGGAATATAGATATGTTATTAAATCATATCTACACTTTGGTAATAAATATGTGCTTACTATATTGTTTCATGAAAATAATAATTCGATCCGAAAATAGAATTATTATTTAATATGCTTTATTTTCAGCATTTGATTGCTATATTAAAGAACATCATTTATAGGATAATATTTTAGCCCAAAGGCTAAACATTAATGTTGCATTAGGTATTTTGTGACGATATTCACTATAATTATTGTCTGATTTATTTTTTATCCAACTATTACATGTGCTCTTATTATATCTACTACATATGCTCTTATTACGTAGCATGAGTCTTAAATAGAGTTCAAATAATATTCAAATATGATCAAAATGTTCCTTATAAAATCTCAAGTTTCCTTGCTTTGATTGCGTTCGAATTTTAGGTGCTGTGAATTTGAAAGTAGTTCTTAATTAAAAGCATTAGTTATTGTTATCTAAAGTAATTTTCATGCATTTTTGCTCAAGAGAAAAAAAATGCATAAATATATTTCTCTTGATTTTTTTTTTAATTATTAGACATGCATCATCAAATTTGTACGAAACAAAAATTCTAAATTATTATTTAAATTTCCCTTCATAAAAATTTAGGCCCAAGAAGTATTAATTTTTATATTCTGGCAGGGTTGTAATTGAGTTGAGTAAAGCCAGCTATGCCTTGGAATGGATTTGGTTTGATTATATAAGTTGTTCATGTTTAACTCCATCATGAACAAAACTTTTAGATATAAAATCATACTTGAGTTGACCCAGAATTTTTAAAAATCTTTTTTAGCTTTTCTTTTGTTTATTGATATTAATTGAACAAGTACTCCAAAGAGTTAATAAATAAGCTAAAATTTAAATTATTTACCTTTTCATATAAATTTATTAATAAATGAATTTACAAATCTAAATATGTAAGTACTTGAATAAATTTTGAATTAATATCTTACTAGCTTATACTGATTAAATCAAATATTAATAAGTTGCTTGAAAGTTCTTTGTAATTAAATAGTATAAATAAATTTTAACAAACTATTTTTTATTGAAATAAAGAAATAATAAGAAATTTTATTAAATTATAATATGTTATTGAAGAATTTTTTTAAAGAAAGTGAAGGAAAAGAGAAACAGAAATTAAATAAAGAAAATGAAGTTTTTATCATCTGTTTAAGCAATGCATTTGATATGGTTTTGTAGGCATTGAGAATGGCATACTTGTAATAATAGTAAAGGGTGGGTAAAAAGGTAAACACTTGATACATTGTATATGATATATATGTGTTAAGCAGAAGAAACCATTGCAGATATTTGGAGCACAACTAGCAGGTGAAGGAGAAAGAGGCTTTTCAATAGAGATTGCAAGCACGTCTCATTACCCCCTTCCCAACAAATGGTCAATGGAGAATACTATGAGCTTGCTTGTAAGAAGTTGATGCCGAGCAGCTGGAAGAGATTAATTTGGTGAGTATATCAGCTAGTTGGTCTTCTGTTATAATATGCTGAAAGCAGTACTATATAGGGGCATAATAGTAATTTGTTCAGAAATAACTGCAGCACAACTGTTTTCGAACTATAAAAAACAAATAGACAGCCAACGTATCTACAGTAGCTTCTATGAAGCAACTTCATATGACATCTAATGCGCAACAACTTATTATTAAGCCGCAACTGTCTCAAACAAATCCTAAATTGTATTCCAATGGTGCCAATTAACCTATTTATAACATGTGAGTTATTGACATCCATCAAAAAGTTATCTACCTAAATAAGTTAGAAAATGCGAGTGTGATCATGTTGATATATAAGAAAGAAAGGGTTGGTTGTGCCTAATTAAAAGTTCAGAATATATAAAAAATTTGAAAAGGTGGAATACTATTACCTTGATGCCCGTTTAAGACTGTAAGTGGCTTTTGCAACTTACATATATAATATTAAAATTGATTATTAATGAAACTTTGTGGCTGATACATATAAATTGTATCTTTGAGTTTCCCATGTAGAAAATAATTTGAAACATCCAGTTGCTGGATTTTCCAAATTTCCATAGTGGCTAATGTAATTGGCATACGAATTGTAGAGAAGTTAGTAGCAAGACTAAATGTTTTATGATAATTAATATCATGTTGTGGCTTAAAGCCTTGGGCTACAAGACATGCTTTATAGCGAGCAATGGGCCCATCCGTGTGCTATTTAATACGTAATGTCCATTCAAAACCAAAAAAAATTTGAGTGGTTGGTGAAGGTAGGAGAATTAGATGCCTTGTTGTCGGAGAGTCATGAACTCTTCAGACATGACATTTCTCCAATATGGGTGATTAAAAGCTTGTTTAAAAGTGGTGGGGGTGTCTAATTGATGTTGATGTAAAAGTGTAAGAATTTTAACTTATTTAGAATGACCAATTTTAGATTTGGTAAACATGGGATGAGCAATGTGAATGGGTTGAGTGTGGGAAGAGATGGGAGAGTGATGTCGGGGGGGGGGGGGGGGGGGGAATGGAGTTTGGGAGAGAAGTTGGAGAAGGAGAGTTATGAGATTTTGTTTGCAAGCTAGAAATAGGTTAATATTAATAAAGAAGGTGGTGGTTGGACTGAGGAAGAGAGGACTGAGATGTAGAAGACTAGGATCATGATAGTTTGATAAACTGAACATGTCGAGAAATAATAGTGCCTTTTTAGGAAATATCATAACATTGTTATCTTTTATGTTGATTGATATAACCCAAAAAATGCAAAGAGGGGCTTATAGTAAATTTATTATCTTTTCAGCAATGTTGTACTGTTCGAGTGTGTAGGAACAATTGACTTGACTTTGGATACCATTATTTTAAAGATATGTTTGAAGATAAGTTGGTTTATATTCACCGTCTCTATCAGATCCTAAAAATTTTATGTTTGTGTAAATGTTTGTGAGAGCGAATAAAACAATAAGACCCTTCAAGTTTAGAAGTTCAAGGAAAACACCAGCAACATTGAGAGTAAACATCAATGAATGTAACGTAGTACCTGTAACCATTAAGAGAGGGCTAGAAAATTGGCCCCAAACATCAGTGTGTAACATAACATTGTACTTGGTATTGTTAGAAGCAAAAAAACATTTTCTGATTCTTATTTTGATAACATTGAGAGCATGCTATAGAAGATGTAGGAATATGTAGGTGTGAATGAGTATGAGAAATGTGTTGTAGAATTTTGGCATGTGGATGGCCCAACTTATTGTGCCAGGAAAATGTTTGAATGAATGACATTAAAGTTGTGATGGGATATAACCCATTATGAACTAGTACATGTACAATTGTTTTCTGAGTAAGTGATCCTATATAATAAGTCCATTAGCATTAAAAGTAATAGAACAATTGTTATCATGAGCAAGTTAATAAATAGAAATTAAATTGTGAGAAAAATATGGAGCTCTTAAAAGAGAGAAAAGCATTAGCTTATGATTTGCTACGGGTGATAACCTGACACCAATATAGGATATCTCTGTAGTTTGGGCATTTCCAATAGAAACCTTGTCTTGTCCAGTGTATGCAATCAGATTGTGAAGGTTGTCACTGTAGGGAGTAAGGTCAGCAGTAACACATATATCAAGAACCTACTCTTAGTTCTTGGAGGATATGGTGGAAGAGTAGTAAATTGATTGTTATTTGATGACTTGTATTGTGAATTGGTAAGGTGCCGACATTGGGCTATTGCATGCCCTTTCTTGTAACATATCTGACATGACACAGTATGTTTGTTTTTATTGTTGCTGGCAGAGGTCGAGTTCTTGGAAATGAATGAAGATTTATACTGAGAATGGGAATTTGGATTCTTGGTTTTGTAATGAAGAAAAGTTTGTTGCGAAGGGTTATTGAGACTCTCATTGGCAAGATTGTTTTCTTCACTATGAAGTAAGGAATAGAACTCTTTCAGAGATATTTGAATCCCTGGTAACTAGAGGGGAGCCCATTAAGAGTTTATAATATGATGTCTTCTTTATCAATGTTGGAGCGGGGTGCTGCAATATTGTCAACCATTGTATTAATGATGGTGAGA